CATAGGTATACCTCTTGTTAATTTCGTAGCCTGCCATATCTGGTTATAACAGCATAGTATAACGTTTCATTACATTCACATAAATACATTCCACAACATAATGTTAATCTTCTTATTGTATTACTGTTTACATATATATAAATTATCTCAATGAGGTAACTTCGTTGTATTCGATAATGTTTTCAGTCGACTGCTTATTAAATTATTATATTAGCGAACGCAATCTTCTAGCAATCTTTTGTGTGAAGTGGAGCTAAAACTTACAAAGTATTATTTCATTCTATTTATGGTAAAATATTTCATTTAAAGTTTTTATTCAAGAAAAATGGTAAATGCATCCCATCTTATCCAATATATCCTAACTGCTTCCAAGTTCATTTGCTGCTTTTATCACAATTTAATAATCCAACCACCGGTAGCCCCTATATTCTGTCAAAATTTATATTTATTTTCGTGATGTTGTGTTCCTCATTCTAATATTGACGAATATTTTATTCGAACTGTATCGAGATAAGCCTTACTTTGACAAGTTTTGCTACATCGTTCTCTGGTCTTACATGGCCCTGAAATATATAGAATACAATAGTTGTAAGGCGGCCTTTGATGTGTTTGTATCGGTTAAGTAAAAACAAGAAGATAAAACATACCAATATGACAACAGATACCAAATGGCAGAAGTGTGATCTTTTTATACATTATACTAGAAGTTAACATCTGCTACCCATTTGATATTATTCTTAAACACAAAATATATATCGCAAATCATCGTTACATACACCTTAATATTTCACAGTAAATAGTACGATGAGGATATCGCCAGCAGTTTGAGAAGGGACTGTCCAGCAGCTTAAGTAAAGCACTACGCTGAGACAAGACACCAACAGCATAAACATCTCACCCGAAAGCCGACGCGCTATTTTCACTTGTATTTCAATCCTTCAGCTAAACAAAAAGAAAGAAGCAGTTGGAATTAAACCAGTGGCAAAGATCTGGAAGAATCTCCATTGTTCAACGCTCATAGTGGCCGCTACCAACTTAGCCAATTCAGCTAAGCTGCTCTCTTATGTACGCACTTCCAATGGTCAATGGTCAATAGTCATGCATTTATATAGCGCCTTTCACAGAAGAAGCCGTCTCTAGGAGCATTTTTGCCACAAGAAACAAAAACAAAAATTAATAAATGAACAGGCGCGAACGCGAAGGGGGAGGAAGGTGCACATTTCCGATTTTGAGATGGCGTCACCATCACTACCGTGTATTCGCAGGTACCTCGGCGTCGGTTTGCTGGTTCCGGTAGCTTCCACACCGAGAATAAGTCTGCGGCTCCCCTTACCGTGCACTGCTATGTTGGCTGCACTACCTCAAGTAAGGAGATACAACATTTTAAGGGTGAAAACTTAACTATTGAAATTAAATAGGCCTAATAAACAAGAAGATTGAAGAGATAGGCCTTAACGGTAAAATATTTTGCGAAGAATCATATTGGTAATTCAAAAATTAAAATTATTGATCCAAAAATTCGTAGTTTTAATAAAGAAAATGGTGAAATATTAATTTGTCACTTCATATTGAAATAAAAGCTGTATTATATATGAAGTAACAGAATAAGTGAAATGAAGTAGTACCGAGTTTCTAATGTACATACATTGTTTTTATATCTGTTTGTGTATAAAAGAATAGTGAAATTATGTTAATTATCCTAGTATGCGAAGCTAAAATCTGGCTAAGGACATCATATTTTTAATTACTAATATTGATTATTCTTTCAAGCCAAGCAAAGCAAATATCACCAAATAGTGTGTTATTTTTATGTTATATTAAATTGGAAAGATTAACATGATTATGTCTACTTACACGCAAGTGAGGTCTTCGTAATTATAGCCAAAACTATAAACAATTTTAGTCCCATTTCAATTCCAATTGTAGACGTATTCCAAAATGTTCAGCAACTAAAGTTGAAATGGCTTTATTATTTCTGCAGAGTTTATATATCGATACACATCTGCAAAAACAATATTGGAAGTTTCAGCTTCCTTGTGAAGACAGCCCAAACAGCTCTTCCGTCATATATTCAGTATCCCACCGCTGGAAATTATATATACAATTATTCGGCCACGGAGGTAGCATTTTGATTTAGGCGAGTTCTTCTTCGTCAAGAAAGTTGTGAAAAATTACAATTCCGTAATTTCGAAATGAATACAACAAATTCCATGAGATCTAACGAAATAAGCTTCCATATCTTCCATAGTCGAAACTTAAATATCGCAACGACGTTCAATGTCCTCTGTGTGGGCTACAACTTAATGTGAATGCCTACATTAGATGTATGAGAGTATTTAAATCTTTGTTCACTTTTGTGGTTTAGCATTAGTTAACTCACCTAGAAAGGGATAGGCAGCAGGCACAATTCAAGCGCATCTAATTTTTTTTCTAGTAAAGTTTAATTTATTCTAGGAGTAAGGCCTATCCAGACTAATATTTGCCAAAAAATTGTGATATGCCTAAATATAGTCATGATGACATTACAGGCACATCATGACTAATTATGAGCATACAACAGTTCTTTTACGTTATCATTTCATTTGTTCATAACTTTTTTAAGGCTCAAATGAATTTACTAGGCTATTTCGTAGTCGAATGTTATTTCATACGCTTCAACAAACCACAAAAATATGGGTAATTCCCAGTTTATTTTTTAAGTACCTATGACTTCCTGGAAAGTTACAATGACTTTTCTTGCAATGATTAAAGTGGCAAAACGCAGATATTTTGTTGTTAAAGCTAGGTAATAAAAAAAATTAGGTGGTTTTCATTTTACATATTAGCCATGGACCAATTTTACACTGCTAAAATAACATTTCGATAAAATACAAAAGTACAAAAAACTTTAGAGACAGAACAATAATTTCTGAAAGATGATACATGAACTTACCTGGGATTCATTGCTTTAAAGAAAGAGCTTGCAATGCTTGTAACATTTGATTAACTATAAATGTAAGTCATAACGGACATAATAAAGAGGATTTGGTTAGACGTGGGACTGTCTCTTATACACATCTAGATGTGTATAAGAGACAGGTCCAGTATTGAGTAAATGAGCTATAAAATATGGGAGCTCAAAAAATTGCTACAAAACCCAAATTTGTTTTTCACTTTAGATCAACAGTTTAATGTCTCATTAATCATATCCCAAAGTATTAGTTCTGAAAGCGGTTTAACAAATTGTTTATTTAACGTTATTTTCATAGTTCGTTCTATTAAACAGCGTATGCACAAATAAATTTGAAAGGCAATTACTCAAAATCCTGTTTATCTTGACTCTAAGAGTACTTTACTTTCACTTTCCAATAACTTAGGCTTGAAATGTTCAATTTGAATGAATGACCTCTCATTTTAAAGATCACATACTCAGGTATCTGAAAATACCAATAACTTGAATTTAAATTTTTGCTACAACTTAGCCATTTTGCCACAACATGCCTCAATTAATTAAAGTTACCAGATTATAAAAAATATGATAATTAAAGTGATTCATAACTTTAAATGAAACTGGTAAATTACATGAAACCCAAAACTTACGTTGTCAATGCAGAAAAATGTCATGAAATTTGTAAATGCGGGAGAGCATTTAGTCTTATCAGGATAAATAGTAATAATATTAATTAGATTTATAAAGCGCACATATTTGCTGCAGTGGTGCTTAAAGCGCTACAGAAGGACGGAACCAAACATTACCGACCGTGAACCTTAAAGCTACCAGAAAAGAAACACCTTACACATCCTGCACCGTTTACAGGGCAATTTAAGGCACAGAGAGGAACTATAGAATATATTTTACTGCAACATAAATTACGTATTAAACAAAAACTAGCATTTTTGCTTTGTAATTTTAAAAATAGTTTTTCTATGTATTAAAATATAAATGATGATGATAGTGAGATTGTTAATGTTAATGATAATAACGATGATATTGATAATGAATATGGTAATGACAATGATGGCGATAACAATAATAATGTTGGTGAAAATGGTGATTGTAATGCGGATAATGGTAATATTAATGACAAAAATAATGATAATGAGGGTGATGGTGATAATAAATGTAATAATTTTAGTAATGATAACGGCAGTGGTAATTATAATATGATAATGTTAATGGACCTAATCATGATAATGATAGTAATCATGATAACAAAAGTGACAAGAGTAACAGTTACGATGATGATGATGATGGTGATGATGACGACGACAATGATGATGACAATGAACACGTTATATTACCACACCGGGACATCAGTCAGTATGAAGCATGTGCAAATAATCTATCAAAAAAATCTGCCTCAAAGTCGGTCATATTAATAACTCGGTACATTAAAAACAAAACAGATGAATTCGATTTCTTACTAAAAAAAAAAGAGCAATTTAGACATTCTGAGCATCTCAGAAACTTGGTTAAATCTGATACAGATAATACTGTAATTTATATGAAACGAATTTCTGCTGTACGTAATTGAGAAATGCGTGAAACAGAAACGGAAAGATAACTCGAAAAAGAGAAAGTGGTGTTTACATATAATATGTAAAGGAGGAAATCGGTTACAATGAAGACATGATCTAAATCTACACTCATCAGTAGAACGAATTTGCTAGAATTATAAACCAACATTTTCGATTATAAAAGCTGTAGGATATCATTTGAAGATCGAAGTGACCTTTCGTTTTTAATGCACATTCATGTGTGGTATGGCCCCTCTCATTTTTATAACGACATTGAAATGATTTCCGATTATTATTGATACGCCACTAGAAACTCAAACACTTTTAATGTTGTTGCAGAGATCCCTAGTTTTACTGCCGTGGAGAATTCTTTGCGATTTACCAAGAGGCAAGAGTTTCGAACCAAATATCATTTCATATTCACACTTTTACTATATAAACAGTTTTAGGACCAAATACCAAACAAGCTATTTTTTAAAATGTGATATTCAAAATCATTGATTAGTAACATTGTTCATTTTTAAATCGAAATTAAATGAAATATGATATGCTATGTTGATAATTTTACTATTATATTGTAAAATACTGTATTCATAAAGTTTTTTTTCGATACGAGACTTTTTAAAATTTTCAATATTTTTGGTTTATAACATAAATTATATAATATTAAAATTGTTATGTGTAAACTTTGTATTTATTTTCATTGTTATTTATGTGCAGGAGGGCCATTGATAAAAACAAAAATTATCACCAGCATCAAGATGGATCCTGGATACATAACTTTCAAATAAAGAAATAAAATAAATTTAATAAAAATGATTAATTTTGACTGGGTTATATAATATAATGATGAAATTAATATACATTCCAACCTCTTCCACATTTTTGTTTTCTTTTAGACAGTTTCTTGATGAGTCACCATGTTCATTTACAGTGATCTTCCTGAATGGTCATGCAGATTTGGCATGATCCACTTTGTGGCCAGTGAACCACTGTGGTTTTACTTGCTCCTGCAATCTCTAAAAAGATGCGGCCGAGGCAATAAATGCAATTCTGAGGTTGATCATTGTAAAAGAGTTGAAACTTTATTACTAATTCGGATTCTTTTACTGGGTTAGGAATTAATAGTTGATTAACTTGATGTTGGGGTTACAATCGATATAGTAGATTAGGTTTTTGAGTTGCGGGAATGTTTCGCTATCCTTGACACCTTTCACAATGTTTCTAAGCAAGTTAGAACATGGATTTGCCAAAAACTCGACCCACGACGTTATGTCTTTGTCTGGTACATGTTGGGGTATACCATGTATACTTAATCGTATATTTTCGTATTGCTTTTTCATCTGTACTACAGGTTTTTTGAGGTCCGATATTTCAAGTGACTGGTCATTATGGTAGGCCTAATCATTTTAGCAGCAAGAAGAATATGTTTTGATTTATCTGTACAACGTTGTTTGTCAAAAATGTATTGTACGCCAATGATCTCAGATGTTTGGAAGTTCTCGTTTTTCGCTCAGTTATATAATCTTACTGGAACGTCAAGTTCCGTTGCTCCAAAGTTCCTTGGTTTGAATACTTTGGCCTATTAGGGTCGTTTAGGTTCTGTTTCAGTGATTGGTGATAAGTTTGTTTCATGGTTTTGCCGGTAGGGCCTATGAATAAAAACAATATTAAAGGCGTGCTTGGTACTAGAAGTGGAATGTTTAGTTTTCAATCACAACAATAACAATAGGTAGAGTAGTAAAGGCCGTGCTTCAATGACGTGTTTCTGGCGTGGATGGAAAGTCGGTATTGTTTTTGTAAATTTTGGCATTTTACTGATTTGTTTTCCTACAAAATTGATCATTGATCTAATATTTTGTGTATCCAAGTCGAGTTTGACGGTTTGATTTTTGGTGTATTGTTGTTTCCTTTTCAGGATTTTAAACGGATTTAGCTATGGGCTAATGGCACCAAAAGGACCTTCCGTAAGAGTAGTTCTAAGGACTCGCCTGAGCTCTTTTATAGTTGTAGCAGCCCGGTTTTTTATTCTGATCGTAGTATCGAGTGTGAGTTATGTAAATTGTGGTTTCACAGTAGTCGCACGTGTAATTACACTGCTGAACATTTACTGGAATTGTTAAAAAAAACTTAAAACGAAGCAGGATAAAATGGAGGCGTACGGGATGATTTACATGTTATTAGAGATGAAGTTAAGGAATTAAAAGTTGCTCAACAACCCATAAAAACCATCAAGATCTGATAAATGGTTGTTTGGATGAAATTTATATAGTGCATATTGCACATTGCCCCTATGCGCTTTACACAGAAATAATATAGGCCAACCGAGAAAATACAAATAAAAATAAAATAATAACAATAAAATAAAATAATAAATGATAATCATAATAACAATAATAACAATAACGTTAAAGTAATCCTATTCTTTAAACTAATTAATGGTTGGCAAATGACTCCAAGGAGCTCATCCACCCTTTTTTCAGCTATTG